TAAATTCACCCCAGTGCAGAGCTCCTACACAAGGTTCTGAGCATCACTTATGCTCCACTTAATTCTGCCCCTTGTGTGGGCTCTCAGCACAGGGATGATTTTTTCTCTGAATGAGTAAAAGAGAAAACAGAAGTGATGTTTGTGGTCAAGAAGAAGCATTTTAAGGACATTTTCAGACGTTTGCATGTGAAATGCCCACTTTTTAGGGAGTATGGGCAGATATCTCTCATGAGACAGATGTTCATGGCGTTCATCATTGGCTGCTCCTGTGACCTGGAGGTCTATGTTGAGACAGTGATCAAGATTGGCTATTATCTTATCATAGCTACTTTTCATTCTCCATTAACATTTTGTGTAGTTTTACGTATACTTAAAAAACGTGTACATGTAGGTTATATTGTATTTTTTATTTGATTGAGGTCTACATTTGTTTGTTGCTGATCTCATCTATCTTAGGTATTGTTAATTATAAACTCAATCAAGATTTTTTTAAGTGGCAATTACCATCTCCAGCTTCTCTGGAGAGTCAGTCCATTATTTTCAGATACAGCTCTTCCAATGGTCATCCCTATCTTTGTCACATCCAGGCTGTACTAATGTACTCTACTCCCTATAGGTATATAGTTCTCTGTAGTGCAGCATACATTGTGCTGTACATGCTGCCCTCATGTCCACTCCACAGTGCCCTTTCACTTCACTTCACATTTTGCCACTGCTTCTTCCCTTTTATCTCTCTCTCTCTCTCCACTGCCCCTTTCTTAGCTTATGCATGCAGATGTTACAGATTGGTTGAGGTGCCATAGAATCTCAAGTCCGTACATTAGTACAATAAAAATCACACATCTCAACTTTTTATGCAACTTTTGCAAATTAACTACTAATATAATGTCCACACTTTTTAAAGTTTATTATCCAATCATCAGAGACCAGTATTTACTGCTTTGAGTATTCCCCACTGATTTTCTTGTCATCTGCAGGATCAAGGCTTTAGGTCATCCTCTTTCTTGTCTTGCAAATGTATTTTTTCATCTTTTTTGTTATTTCTGTGTCCTTTTACTTGCTCTCACTATTTTCTTCTTCTGTATATCCCTTGGTCCTTTTTTCTTATGTCTTCACTGTATATATATCACTCCTTTCTGTACATGTGTGTTGTTTTGTTCTTCAGGATACAGGATGGCCTTGCAGAGGGAGAATAGCATTCCTGCTTAGTTTTGTGGTGCTTATTATCTTACATTACAATAATGATGGAATCAGACTTCTTACCCAAACTGTGTGGATTAGGCAAGCTTTTGAGGTATTTGGTTTATCTGAGCTTTTATGTATACATATACATATCTATGTATTATATATATATAATCCACATGACATTAGACGCTAAAGTAGAAATCTCATGACTTAAAGTATTTAATATGTGATGTCTTTGAATTGATCATATTAACTGTATTTATGGATAGTTACTATTTGAATTGTACATTTGCATGGTTTAAATTATGTATTTAAAGAAAAATTAAAGGAGTATTGGTGGGAAATTGTTAGTCTAAGGCAAAGTGAAATAATCAAGACAGCTACATTGTTATTTGTTGAGACCTAGCATACACAGGGCTGCTGCTGGGGGACACCTAAAGCATTTGTCTTAAGCTTGGGGTGGTATGCCTCTACCACTCCTGCACATCAAGCCTTGCCTAGCTAGACAGCTTCCCTTGTTCTGGGCACTGCTGTGCTGAACAATGGCACAGCCTTGACCTCTCTTAGATTTTATTTTGTCACCTACTACTCTGATGATGAGATTGCACACAGTGCATGAGTTACTGCAGTGGCTCCTTTTGGGCTCTGGACCACAGTGAAAAATCACACAGCTATTTTTCTTCCACTCCTCTTCCTGAAACTCTGGACACCTTTCTCTCCTTTCCTCCCTACTACCTGAGGAAATGGCTCTTGCTGGAGCCTCTGTACCCTCTCCCCCAGAGTGGCATCTCTTCTGAATCTGGGGCTCTGTCTCATAATCCTCCTCCCCTAAAGCTGCAGCGTGACTTCATGCTTCCCTCCCTCCTGACTCCATCCTGTCAAGGCCACAGGAGTGGGCTTTTCCTGCACCTCATAGTTTCCTTACTCCTCCCTTCTCCATTCCAGCCTCAAATTGCAGTGGCCCACTGTTCACAACCCAAGAGAAAGGCAGCAGCTGCTGGATAATGAAATGGATATGGAGTGAAAGAACGAATGAATGAGTGCTTGAGAGCAGGGCCAGCTCCAGGCACCAGCAGAGCAAGCATGTGCCTGGGGCGGCACATGCTAAGGGGCGGCATTCTGTCCATTCTTGGGGCGGCAGAGTGCGGGCAGTATTTTTTTTTTTTTTTGTGTCTTCGG